ACCCAACGCGCAGGACACAGCGCGCAACGCACAACGTCGCGCACAACGCGCAAGGCACAACGCACAGCGCACAGCGCGCAGCGCACAACGCGCAACGCACAGCGCACAGCGCGCAACGCACGCCACGCACAGCGCAACGCACAACGCGCGACGCGCAACGCGCAACGCGCAACGCGCAACGCACAGCGCACAACGCACAACGCACTATGTACAGTGCGCATCGCACAAAACACAACGCACCACACTTCGCACAAGGCACATAACAACGCACAGCACGCAACGCGCAACGCACGCAGCGCATCGCGCAACGCACCTCGCACAACGCACAACACAGAACGCACGACACACAACGCGCAACGCACAAGCGCCATGCACAGCGCAACGCACAACGCACAATGCGCATCGCACAACGCGCAACGCACGACGCACCGCGCACAGCGCGCAACGCACAACGCACAACGCACAACGCACAACACACATCACACACAACGCACCGCGCACAGCGCACGGCGCAACGCGCGCTGCGCACCGCGCGCCGCGCGCCGCGAGCCGCGCGTCGCACGGCGCGCAACGCAGAACGCGCAACGCACAACGCACAACGCACGACGCACGCCGCGCAACGCAGAACGCGCAGCGCACAGCGCACCACGCGCAACGCGCAACGCAACGCACAACGCACAGCGCGCAACGCACAACGCGCCACGCGCATTTCCATTGTCAAAATACAACGCACAACGCGCAACGCACAACACCAACGCACAACGCACAACACACAATGCGCAGCACGCAGCGCGCAACGCACAACGCACGACGCACAACGCACAACGCGCAACCGACAATGCAAAGCACAACGCGCAACGCACAACGCACAAACGCGCGCCTCGCAACGCGCAACGCGCCACGCACAACGCACAACGCACGATGCACAACGCACACCGCACAAGTCACAACACACAACGCACAACGCACATTGGACAACGCGCAACGCACATCGCACAACGCACAACGCGCAGCACGCAACGCGCACAACGCAGGACACATAACGCACAACACACAACGCGCAACGCACAACACACACCACGCACAACGCACACTACGCACGCACAAGCACAAGGCACACAAACTACAACTCACGCACGCGCCCAACGCGCCCAACGCACGCGCAACGCGCGCAACGCGCGCAACGCGCGCGACGCACGCGCAACGCACGCGCAACACGCCCGACGCACAAAGCACACAACGCACACCACGCACACAACGCGCACAACGCACAAGGCACAACGCGCAAAGCGCACAACGCACGCAACGCACACATCACACGCATAGCGCGCGCGACACAGACGCAACGCACGCAGCGCGCGGCGCGCAGCGCGCGCGCGCAGCGCGCGCACGCGCGCGCACGCGCGCGCTTTTTTTGCGCCGGCGGCTGGGCAGTGGGCGACTGCTCGGGCGATCTGGCAACGGGGGGCGCGCTGCGTGCAGATGGTGGCCGCGATGCGCGAGGGGGGGCTCGGCGCGACAAGGGGGGGGGGGGGGGCTGGGCCCGATCAGGCAAATCACCGGCCCGAGGGGGGGCGCCGTGCGTGAAGCGGAGACCGCGCCGCCGTGGGCCAGCAGGGCGCAGTCCCAGAGACGACTCATGGCGCCGAGCCCAGCGGGCCTGCGAGGCGCGGCGGAGCGAGAGGCGGGGCGCGCGCAGCCGCGAGGGCGCGGCGAAAGAAGGCGACGCCGCAGCTCGGCGCGAGGACAGAGAAGTGCGCCCCAGAATCGGAGCCGTTCCAATGGGGGGGCGGCGCGGGGCCTGGGGCGCCAGCGATCGGGCGAGCGAGCGGGCCCACGGACGGGCGGGGGCGCCGAGGCCAGGGGTGCCTTCGAGGCGCGGCGGGGGGCGGGGGGGCGGGGCAGCAGAAGCCGCAGCGATGCGCGAGAGCGCGGGATGCGCTGGCCTGCGAACGGGGGGCTGGTGGAGGGGCCGCGCCGCAGGGGCGAGCGGCGCGGGCCGAGGGCAGGCAGGGCAGGGCGAGCGCCGAGACCAGAGGGCCTGCGAGGCGCGGGGGCTGGATGGAGGGCAGCGCAACGCGCCGCGGAGAGGCGGCAGCGACCCGCGCGCTAGTAGCCGGTGAATGGACGGGGGGCCGGCTTGAAATCCAGGCAGGGAGAGCGGGGGCCCAGGCCAGGGGCAGCTGGGGGCGCCCGGGCGACGGCGAGGGCGGAGAGTTCGGGGACACGCGGCCCAGCCGCGCGGAGAGGGGGGGCGGCCAAGGGGCAGGCCAGGAGTGCAAACGCGGAAAGGGCTGCCCACTGGCGCAGGGGGAGCGGCCCGCCAGCGCGGGATGGAACGGCCCGCCAGCGGAGGGGGGGCGGCCCGCCGGCGAGGCGTGTAGGGGGGCGCCTGGCGGAGGGGGGCGGCCCGCCTGTGCCCGGCGCGCTTGCGCGGGGGGGGGGGGGGGGGGGGGCGGGCCGCCGGCGGCGGGGGGGCCCCAGAGGTCCGCGGGGCCAGCTCAGCTGATCCAGGTTTTTCTAAAATGCAGAATTTGTTTCGAACCGTCGCATCTTTTCCAGCCCAGGAAGCATCGTGAATCTGATCCAAACCACCATATCTGATCCAAACCATGAAATCTGTTCCAAAACATAACATATAGCAGATGCGCTTGTGAACACCAACACTTAATGCACCGTGAATATCAAGGCCCCCCCAAGAAGCAAGACGACTCAATGCCCCCGCGCCAAGAACGGCCAGCAATCTATTTCGAGGTTCCCCAAAGGTCACCGAAATACTTGAGATGCCCTTATTGCCGCTTGAGAATTGTGTGCGGTTCATCGGAAGGGATTGTTTGCGCGCCGTTCCGTCCAGTTTCTTCTTCGTTCCCTACCTAGGCTCTGCCTAGAAGGGTTCTTACTTTGCTCGCTTAAGGGGGGGCAGTGCAAATCGCTCCGGGCGGTTCCCCCAGCCCCCTGGGAGCCCGGGCCAGGCAAAAGCAACGGCAAAGGTAAAAGCAACCGGCGGTTCCCCCAGTTGCGCTCCCTGGGCGCCGAGCAAAAGCAAAAACAAAGGCAAAAGTGAAGGCAAAAGCGAAGGCGAAGCAAACACATAGCATAGCATAGCATAGCATAACATAGCATAACATAGCTTAGCGCAGCGTAGCATAGCGCAGCATAGCATAGCATAGCGTACCATAGCCTCGCTTAGCCCAGCCTAGCCCAGCATAGCATTGCTCAGCTCAGCACATCACATCATAGCATAGCATAACATAGCAGAGCAGAGCAGAGCAGAGCAGAGCGGAGCATAGCACAGCATACTACTACTACTACTACTACTACTACTACTACTACTACTACTACTACTACTACTACTACTACTACTACTACTACTACTACTACCGCTGCTGCTACAACTACGACGATGAGGAGAAGGAGGAGGACGGCGTTTACCGCTCCTACTCATGGCGCTTTCCTAGAGGCTCCAACTCCAATGTCGGGTCGCACTGGGGTAATTATCTGGCTGCGTTGTTGCTCAGTGATTCCCCCTGCGCACGTGCCTGCGCATTCTGCCGAGCATTCGAAGATGTCTTCTCCCGCGCCCGCCGAGCTGGATGGGCTTGGCACTGCGATTTCGCTGAATATGACGTCGTCGGCCTTGATTCCATGCAGAGAGAAGTCTGGGGCCCAGCGCATTCCTGGAACCCCTTCTGGGAAGCAGCTTAAGGGAGGAGAAGGACGATGATAATATAGCGAGAAGAAGGAGAGGAGTGGAGGAGATTGAGAAGGAGAGGGGGGTGAGTTTTTTTTTTTTTTTTTTTTTTTTTTTTTTTTTTTTTTTTTTTTTTTTTTTTTTTTTTTTTTTTTTTTTTTTTTTTTTTTTTTTTTCCTCTTCCCCCGGCGCGCTTTCGCTTCTCGGTTCAGGAGATGCGTGGCCCGCGAGAGACGGGTGCCATCGAGATGCGCGCGGGCCCGATGCATGCCGTGCGAGGGGTTGGCCAGCCGAAGGCGCTCGATGCGTTCCAGGCTGTGGCGTCTCACAGAGACGCCGAGTGGAAACTCGGCCCCGGGAGAAGAAATGGCGTGGGAAGCAGACCGAGCGCGCCCGCGCAATGAGGCGCGACATAGATCAAGCAATCTTGAAATTCAGAGCCGTCCACGACCGCGATCCCACCAGGAACCCGAAGCCGTAGCTCGCCCCGTTCTGTGGGGCGGAGCAGGACGCGCCCTCCGTTGCAGCTGAGGGCGACGGCGCCGAGTACACCGCGACATCATTGTGGCTCTGCCCCTCGCGCGCAGTGTCGCCACTGTATGGAGCGCCGCCAAATGAACGATCGCCCAGAGAAGTGCGCATCGGCCGCCGCGACGCCGGCCGGGGCGCCGCCCGCCGCCGCCGCCGCCGGCGGGGTGCTGGCGGCCCCAGAGCACCAGATCCAGCATTTCATTGAAGAGTTACAGAAACAGCATACCTGCAACTACGAGCATAAAAACTGGCGCGCTCTAATCATAATTAATGATAGTTTGATCATACAATCTATCATATTTGTATATGACTAGTTGGCTCCAAACGCGCTACGTCGATGTAGTTGTTTATTAGCTGGGTTGTGCGCGCGTGGAACTCGCGCGCCTGGTCAACTCCTATGGGTCGGCGGATTTGCTCTTTTCCTCCTCCTCCAACCCCTCCTCCTCCTCCTCTTCCTCCTCCTCCTCCTCCTCCCTCCGCCTCCTCCTCCTCCCTCCTCCTCCTCCTCCCCCTCCTCCTCCTCCTCCCCCCCCCTCCCCCGCGCCCGCAGCCATTTCGGCCCAAGTTGCTGGATCTTGTTTTTTCTTTGCAGAGCTTGCACGGACACGGGGCTTCGTCCAAGGACTCACGTCGTGCTAGCGCGCGCTTTGGAGGCGTGTTGGAAGCAGTGGCTCTGCTTGAAAAAGCCTGGGTGGGAGTGGGGTGGCAGTGACTATACTCGGCCGAGTAGGAACCAGGGCGCCGACGAAAGCTCGCTCCTGACGTACAAGAAGCCCTGATGGAACTCCTCAAGTTGGCCCCTTCGGGGTTCCCAACTCACACCACTTTGAAGGCCGCATTCGTTCACCTCGACGCGAAGTTCACCATCTTCTGCCCCAAGAAGACCAGAGGGCGAGCAGCCGACTCGGCAAACGCATCAGACGTGTGGCGCGTGATGTGCAAGGACGTCTACAACATGCAGAAGTCTGGCGTGTGCGGCCCCGAGATGATTGAGCTCGTCGACCTTGTCAAGTTGCGCGACCCGCCCCCGACGGGCCAGCCGACGCTGCTGTCCGACGCGGATCCGCCAATCGTTTCTGCCACGCCAGAGTTTGCGGAATTCTCAGGTTCTGAGCCCGACGAGACGATGGAGATTTCCGATAGCGACGTCGAGGTCCTGAATGTCAGTTGCCGTTGCCCTGACTGCCGAGCAGGCGCGCCCAGCGCAGCGATTGGAGGGCAGCGTCGCGAGACCGAGATCCCAGAGACGACGGTGCAGAAAGAGGCACCAAGGCGCAGGCTCAAAGGCAAGCAGTTTGTCAAGACCCAGGCGCCCCCCCCCCGAGGAAGCCGCCGCGCAGAGGGAAGGCCAGGCGTATCTTTGCGAAGAGCGCCGCGAGGACCGAGGGGACTTTTACGAAGTGGTTCTGGCCCATCACGATGACGAAGAGGGCGCCCGAACCACCTCGTATGATCGGCGAGGCCTACCTCCAGCACGGCACCTCCGATCCCAAGAAGAAGAGGAGTTTCGTCGTCGGGTTGAGCAGCAACAGGCACGCCAAGTACATCGAGATCATTACTGAGCTCAAATGCCTCATCGAGGCCAATGGCATCACGAACCCCAGCGACGCGAAGCAGTGGGTGCAGGGCCAGGTGGACTGGTCCATCAGCTAGTAGTCATCCAAGCTACGTGTGCACGTTTGACTGCGCTCGTGAGGGGCGCGCAGTCTCGGGTGAGCGGTTGGTATTTCCGACCAGTAGTGTTCTTCTCACTATGGCAGTTGCACGGCCACAGTGCGCAGAGACCGAGCATCGTCAACCCACCGCCATCTTCGTCATCGTTGCATTCATCTGAGTCATTGCCATCACCATCATCATCGTCAGCATCCTCATCACCGTCACCATCATCCTCATCATCATCGCCGTCGTCAACATCACCATCACGCTCAGCATAGCCGTCGGATTTCCCACCATTATAGCATATGGCATCAGCATGGCATAACATCAGCATAGCATCAGCATAGCATCAGCATATCATCAGCATATCATCAACATCACCGTAGCATTTATGGCTAACCAACAGCTTGGCGCGTACCCAGCCTTTGAGGCCGCTGCTCGGCGGGCAGAGCGGTTCGACGCAGAGAGGGCTCGGATCAAGATGGCTTCGTCGATCGGCGCAGCCGTTTGCCAGCACCGTGGGGCCACGGCAGCCGTGAAGAAGGAGCCCCCACCCAACCCTGATGATGAGGCGGTTGCTCCAGGAGCAGCTCCCCCGCCCGCAGGTGCGGCAGATGCTCCATCAGCGGCAGGAGTTGCGACCCATGCGCGCTCAGCGTTCAGCAGCGACAAGGCGAGGTACAACCGATTCAACTACAAGCTTCGCTTGGTGCCATCGTCCTGGCATGACGAGTGGAAGATCGTGAGATCTCATGAGATGGTCGCCCCCGAGCGCTTCGACGAGTTCGTGGAGTAGGTCATCGGCTACAACGCGAAGGAATCCAATGAGAAGAAGAGGAGCATCAAGAACGTGGAGACGCAGGGCGAGGAGGCTGGTTGGGTTGCATGGGCCGAGGCGGAGGCCAAGGAGGGCTACGACGTCCTGCTTGCCCAAGTCAACGCGCGCACGGTGGAGTCTCGCCCGCGCCCTCGCTTGCCCCCGTCGTCTGACATCAAATGGCCACGAAACCTCCAGGTCAAGCTCATCTCTGAGAAAGAGAAGCGCTCCAAGATCAAGACTGATGAGGAGTCCAACGTGCAGTCCAACGTGGAAAAAGGCGCTGGGATCGCTTTCGGCTTGCAGTGGGCCAGGGATCGTTTGCAGACGGGCAGCAACGCGTTCAGCTCCATCTCGTCGACCGCCTCGGAGGGGGTCGCCAAGCAGATCTTGCCAGAAGGCATGGCGGCAGCATCTGCGCCGCCGAGCGCTGAGGATATCAGGGACAGGGCGTGCGTGGCGCACATTCGGAAAGCGCACAACGCGTGGGACAAAGCACGTCGTGAGTACTCGGGCGTGGTGGCCCAGTCAGCTAGCAATCAGAACACGAAGGGGTGCAAGTTCGAATCCGACTTGAACGGAGCCACCCTCCAGGGCAACTCCATCGACGATCAGCTCTGCGCCTTGGAGCAGAAGTTCACTCGGGGCGAGCGTTTCAGCCCGAATGAAGTCACCGACGCAGCCAACTACAGCAACCAGCTCAAGGAGGTCATCAAGGGGGGGAACAAGATCTGCGCGGCCATGAAGCCATGGTTCAAGATCTGAGGTGCTAGGCCAGCTTTCGCTTCAAGCCAGTCGCGGCATTCAGCTTCGTTTGTACTTCTTCGCTTCCATCAAGGGGGCTGCCGCGCAGCGCGGCAGAGGAACGTGGTTACGCATGGCCTCTGCCCCGCTACCAACGAGGGAAAAAGAAGCACGCCTTGTCCTCGAGGGTCGGGGGCCCGCTGGGGGCCAGGGGCCAGCAGCCGACAGCCGGCGAGGAAGACACGGCGGAGGAGGCGGAGGAGGAGGAGAAGGCGGAGGAGGAGGAGGCGGAGGAGGAGGAGGCGGAGGAGGAGGCGAAGGAGGAGGAGGAGAAGAAGGAGGAGGAGGGAGGAGGAGGGAGAATGAGAAGATCTGAAATCTGAAAATCTGAAAATCTGAATTCAGATATTCAGATTTCAGATCTTCGTAATGCTGCATACATGCGGCATTGCGAAGATCTGAAATCTGAAAATCTGAATTCAGATTTTCAGATTTCAGATCTTCTCCTTGCTGCATACAAAGGAGGAGGAGGGGGAGGGGGAGGAGGAGGGGGAGGAGGGGGGGGGGGGGGGGGGGGGGGGGGGGGGGGGGAGGGAGGAGGGGGAGGAGGGGGAAGAGAGGCGGAGGGGGAGGAGGAGGAGCGCGGGGGGGGAGGAGGGGGAGGAGGGGGAGGGGGAGGAGGAGGAGGAGGAGGAGGCTGGCACAGCGCCACAGATTTCAGATCTTCGTAATGCTGCCACAGCGCCACCGCCGCAGCGCCGCGTCGGCGGCACCGCCACAGGCGGCCTTGCCCTTGGGCCCCCCCCGCTTTGATCTCCACTTGGGCCTCCCGCTCCTGGGCCTCTGGTCCCCATCCTTGGGCTCCCGCCCTTCAAGGCGCCTCCACCTTTGGGTCTTCCGTCTTAGGTTCCCCCGCCCCACCCTTGGGGTTACGATGGTCTCAGATCGTGGACATATTCTAAACTGTTTTAGAACATGTGCATCGTTTTCGATGCCTATGCCTTGCCCTTGGGCCCCCCGCTTTGGATCTCCACTTGGGCCTCCCGCTCCTGGGCCTCTGGTCCCCATCCTTGGGCTCCCGCCCTTCAAGGCGCCTCCACCTTTGGGTCTTCCGTCTTAGGTTCCCCCGCCCCACCCTTGGGGTTGCGATGGTCTCAGATCGTGGACATATTCTAAACTGTTTTAGAACATGTGCATCGTTTTCGATGCCTATGCCTTGCCCTTGGGCCCCCCGCTTTGGATCTCCACTTGGGCCTCCCGCTCCTGGGCCTCTGGTCCCCATCCTTGGGCTCCCGCCCTTCAAGGCGCCTCCACCTTTGGGTCTTCCGTCTTCGGTTCCCCCGCCCCACCCTTGGGCATGCGATGGTCTCAGATCGTGGACATGTTCTCAACTGTTTCAGAACATGTGTATCGCTTTCGATGCCTATGCCTTGCCCTTGAACCCCCCCGCTTTGGATCTCCACTTGGGCCTCCCGCTCCTGGGCCTCTGGTCCCCATCCTTGGGCTCCCGCCCTTCAAGGCGCCTCCACCTTTGGGTCTTCCTTCTTGGGTCCCCCCACCCTTGGGGTTACGATGGTCGGCGAAACGATGAACCATGCGGCATCTCACAAACGGCTTCAATGCCATCATCACCACCGCCATCGCCGTCGTCGCAGCCGTTTTGGCCCCATTGTCAGGACGCATGAACCACGTGCACAGTTTGATACTCTTGATTAGTGCATGTTCGTGTATCGTGATGTTGAGTCGGCTCTGGGAGCCAATCGGGGACGCGACGGGACGTCGGCGAGGTGGCTGGCGCCAGCAGGTGGCCATAGATCACACCGAGTCCGTTGAGCCCAGCAGTGTGTCACAATTATGTTGGCGGCAAATGTTGTTGTGGAGCTCGGGTGACATATCTGCATCCAGACTGCAGGAGACGATGGCGGATGCAATGCGCGATGGTTTGAATGACCCAATGGTAGTTCGTGGATCTCAAGTCGGAGAGGGGGGACATGCCCATGGGGGCCTCATGGCACTCCTGGAAAACAGAACGCAAATATTGGATCAGATCGGGCGCGTGCCAGGCAGTATTGGCGAAGCTGCCTCGCGCATTCTGCTTCCGAGTTCTGTTATACAAGCTATGCACATACATTGCCCATCGCATTTCAGACAGATTTTCGGAGCCGATCTTGGACACATAAAATGCTTCTGGGATTCGTTGCGCCACCCTCGGAACCGACTCCATTTCAGAGACCATGCAAAATTGGGCGCGCTCAGCGCGGACGAGTTGAAGTACTGCATCCCTGTTTCCTTGCGCGAGGACGCTGGACCAGTGACAAAACGCGCGAGTGCGAATTGCATTTCTTTTGGCAGCGTTCTTGCTTCAGGGAGTGAGAAGTTTACTAGTTTCCTATCTGCGACGTACATCAAGCGCAGACGTGCCGAATCATTTGACAACGCGCCAATGTGGACAACGTTGCTGGCAGATTTTGAGGTTTTGTTTGCTGGAGTTGTGAATGGTCGCCCCGTGGCCCCCACTGGCTTCGCCGATGGAAGTTTCTGGGAGTTCATTTTGATTTTCGCCAAAGCTGACGAGCAAGTGAGAGCCGACGAATGGGGGCTTCAGGACCACAAAGGCGCGGTCGAAGTGTGCAGCGAGTGCCTCGCGGACAGAACTGGGCGACCTTGGACTGACCTGAGGATGTGCGCAGCGTGGAGGAGCACGTCGGCAATGACCCTCGCGCAATACCGAGCTCGAGCGAAGCTCCCCAGACACCCATTGGTCGACAGCGACTTTTGTTGGAGGTATTTTTTCCTATGTCGACGTCATGCACGTGCTTGACTGCAAGGGCGTCAGCAGTTTCGTGTTTGGCTCGATGTGGCAGCGTTGGTCACGGATATGCGTTTGGGCAATAACCAGCAACTGAGGTTGAACGTCATCAACGCCAAGCTGGATGCATTTTACACCCAGCACCCTGGGTCACACAAGTTTCCGAAAATCTTGCCCTAGAGTTTCAAAAATGAAGAGGGCTGGGCTGAGCTGCGCGGACCAGCGTTCAAGGCAGCGAACGCCAGGGCGGCTGCCCCCTTCTTCGCCAGCCTGGCCCTTGAATATTTCAATGGCGATGGGGAAATGCATGTTGCTACTCGTCAAGCCACGTCGGCGTTGGTAGAATTATATTCGTTGATGGACAGATCTTCTATGTTCATGTCCGACGCCAGTCTGCGTCATATGAGAGAGGTGGTTGACGATTTTGGGGGTGCGTACCAGCGTCTTCGAGAATGGGGTCGGGGCAATAATCTTTTGCGGTGGCAAGTTCGGCCGAAAGTACACAAGGCAATGCATATTCCAGAGCAGGCTGCAATAATACATCCTAAATTCGAGAATTGCTACCTCGATGAATCTTTGATCGGGGGCACCCAGAAGGCGTGGAAAGCTTCAGTACATGGGAAATACGCGGCGCACGTGCAGAGAGCAGTTTTGGCCAAGCGCTGGCTTTCAGTCGTTTTGAGGTTGGAGCGGGGCGTGTTGCGATAGAGTCTCTATTGGTGGCACCACCAGCGATTTTTGTTCGTTGGCGGGCATGCTTTCACGTTGATTGGAAACAAGTCACCCGCGTCAACTAGCGCCAGGCATGGGTAACAGAAAGGAGGGAGGGGGGGTGGGGGGGGGAGTGGGGGGGGAGGGAGGGAGAGGGGAGGGAGGGAGGGAGGGGGGGAGGGAGGGCAGGGAGTGCTCCTGGCCGCTCGGCGATTACGTCGTATTTATGTTCGGTTGAAGTCGATGTTGGTTTACAGTAGTTGTTTATGTCATGTTATGTAGTTATATGTTACTTTGAAATTGATATGTGATAAATTATATTGATGGCATATGATGATGGGGTTGAAGAAATTGATCAACATAATCATGATCCTCAGATCCTCAATAAATTGAAGAATCAGGGCTCTGGG